GTCGTATTTCTGCGGTACTTTCACTGCTTTGCTCTCGACGAGTCTGTAGTTCTTCTAGCTTCTTTCGCGTTTCCTTCAACTCTCTATCATATATCGTAAATTCTAAGGCACGTCTGTCTCTATCCCAGTGTTGATATTCTTTCAATTCTTTTGTTTCATTCTCAAGAGTCCGTAAACGATCTTCAATACTGTTTAAAAGTTCAGATATTTGCTCTCGTTTAGCTTCTGTTTTTCAAAAAAAAACAATTTAGTTTAGTAACTGCTAAAATTAATACAATTTTAGGATGAATATCAGTTTCTTCAGTAGTCCGTCATAATGCTAGAAGTTGGTATGAATGCGCGTAATACACTTCCAAATTGCATTACGAGGGTGATGAATGCGATCATAACCATTGTGATTAGAACTTGCACGTTGTAAAATTAAACTTATGGCACCTGGAAGCTCAGCAGCACAACATTTCGTTACTTACATAATAATCAGCATCATACTGAAACAAAGTCTAAGCAAGCCACATCAAAATGAATAAAAGTATTTCTTTTGTTCTGAAGGGTACGGAAAAATCATTTAACACTTGAATTACAGGGAATGGGACTTAAAACTGAATCCTGTCCGGTTTGAACAATTCACGTATTGCATGTGGCTTATACACTAATAAATCAAGCTTAATAGCGTTCTTGAGTTACATAACTAATGTTGATGGCCATAAACTGAATAACAGTCTAGTCTTGACAATGATGAAAAAGCCAATGCAATCCGAGATATATATAGGCATATTATTTCACTTGACTAAACAAGTTTCGAGCGATTAAAGGAGTGCAGTAGTAATTCCACGATTACATCCACCGACTTCGGATGAAATCCACAGACTAGCAAATAAAGATATATGAATATGCACAATCCAAAAGAAATGTGAAGTAAACAGTTGAACTAAAAGTCCAAATAACAAATTAGATATTTTATCATAGATCTAAAAGACAGTGAATAACTTATCTTGAAGGGAAGTTGAATTCACAGAGTAACTGGTTTCAACAACCTAACTAAACAGATAAATTCAAATTCTGACAAAAATAAGCCATATTAGGGACTACCACATCAAATATCGATTTCATGAAAAATTTTGGGTCTTATCATTAAGCTTGATAACTATTTTCAGTACAAGTATGGAATTTTCAGCATGGATATCGGTAGCCCAAATTTCAGGCCGACCATAGATATCGGGTGTGCGTCGGCAGGGGATCGAACCCCGGACCATGTGCATGGTCGGCGAGAGTCCTAACCACTGTGCCACCGACGCACATATCACCAAGATCAAAATAAGAATAGAAAAACTCAAAGTCGATTATTTGATCATATGCGAAAGAGAAATTGTTCATTTTTGTCCAGAAAATGGAAACCACAAGAGATGCTACCTCTTCGTTGTAAGAAGGCATTTTACATTTTTAGTCAAATGATTGAACAATTTAAGAAACGGTGATATAACAAGACCTAGATCGATAGCTAATGTCACGGTAAACACGAAAAAGGTGAAGGGAATGGTAAGACATCATAGAAGGAGGGTTTAAAGTGCAGTCAACTCGAAAGCAGGCGTTCAATAACCCCACTTCTTTGAAACCGTTTAACGACAGAAAGAGTAAGTGGTTTCTTTTTCGTACCTGACTCTTTGAATATTTGTTTACTTTCTTCCTTTCGCTCATCGTAAACCCTGGTTCCGGCAACTTCCCTTAGTAATTTCAATCTTTGGTGATCAGGTGCAGTAGCCAGCTGAGTGATCTGAGAAAAAATCACATAAAAAGGTAAACATCGGATTTGAATATTGAGACAGTTGTGGAGTGATATACTTGAAGAAGCATCAAGACACCTTAAAAACGAGCAGTAAGTACTTAATTTTAAACCAAGAATTGGGATTAAAACCAATTGACATTCGTTGACATCTGCACTAGGCACATAAAATTATCGAAACTCGTAATACTTCATTTATTTGAGGAATTTCAGTTTTAATCATGTAATAACGATATTTATAGAAATCCAATAACTTAACAAACATTTGTAATTATTAACAGTAAAAAGCGTACTGGGTTGTTCGACATTCTTCCTTTTCACTTAATCAACCGGCACAGCCTAACAAACACCTTAAAGGGGGGTCTACATTAAGAGCCCTCAGGACGGACTAACAACAATATTGTGTCTGCAATAATTAAGGTTCGGTTACCATGAAATAATGAGTATACGTGAAGTCATTTGTTGTTAGTATGAGCTGGACAGTTCTTCTACTCCGGTGTATATTGGCATGAACGTCATAACATGTTCAACTTAATCAGGTGACTGCTGATAACCAACAAATGAAACTGTGCAAAAAGACAGTAGTTGTGAATGCTTTACTTAATCCACATACACGAAAATCACATGTTAAACAATACGTGGTTGTGAGGGAAAGATTTAAGTGGTAAATAACAAAAGCAAAAGGTAATACACTAACCTTTCCTTGTTTAACAATATAGTATGGATTACTACGAGAAAATCCAGCGCTCTCCAGCATGTTCATTACATCAGCTTTCCTGGACGAAGTCATTACATGCTACTAAACCTACGTGACCATCTTCTTGTCAAGAAAATACTGATCTTTCTTGCTGCCAATTATCCTCCGCAAAGAGACTTCATTTTTATCAAACTATATGAATAAAACTTTTCAGAATGCCTTACAGGAATTCGATTGTCTGAGTTGTCGAAAATCATTTCCACGTAGGCAGATATGACTCGTGGACCTGTGCCTTCGTGAAGCAGATTTTGTCTCTCCTGGTTACTGAGGTGACTATACTCGTCAGAGAGCACAAACTGTATTGCTTGAAAGAAATTAGACTTCCCCGAACCATTACGGCCGACTTTTTATATTATTACTATTTAAGCAAACAAACCTATTATGTTGTGATGTGGACTAAACTCCTCAGGACAGGTCTGGTCTCTATAACTGCGAAAGCCTTGAATAATAACCTTTTTTATATACATATTCGCCCATTAATTGAGTTGTAGCGTCAAATTTGAATATCCGCCAACGCTCTTATTCCAATAACTGATCCCATATCATTTTAAACAGCTAGTGTAAACCAATTTGATATTTTTGTGCCGGCTTCTTGGTTGTAAGGTAAAGATCTCTGTTCTTTGGTCAACCTCTGCGAAGCACATCACAACACTCGACTGATGTAGCTTAGTTTGACTCCAAGAAGGTTGGTTATATTTTATACGGTTTGCAGTATGCGGTATGTTAAGGCCGTGTCACTACTGTGGATGGGGTTTATCCTCTCGCCCGTTAGTCGTCCGTTGTGGTCGAAAGAGAGACAACAATAACAACCCCATCCCGTAAAAGTAAATTCCACTGCTACCGAAACCTCAGAGCTATACCCTGAAGCCCTGTGTTTCACTGGGAACGCAAAGGAATAAAGCAAATAATAATAAAATAATAAGGGAATTGACATATGAAGTAGTCACATGAGCAAGAAAAGGGAAAATGGGAAGAAAAAAGACGAGTTTAGGTGCATACCCATTAATAGTTTATGAGTTTATGGGATAGTTCGTTTGGACTTGGTCCCAGTGTCGCTGCATGAATTTCCAGACTCCATTCGAAGGTGTCCACGAACGTTGCATTAGCCATATCTAATGAAGAGTTCTAGAAGTGGCAAATATGGAGTGAAAAGAAATGGGAACCCACTCAAATATTGGCTCTCTAATGAGCTATCCCTAGTGGATTGCCACAAGGAAGCTCACATGTACTTAATATCAGAACACCTTTTGGGATGGTTCTGGTAATTTGGAATCTTATAGACATTGATTAAGTCCCCCTAAGCTGCCGGTGGCTAAGTGTGAAAAGACCTGATTTCTTCAGCCATTCATAACATGGTTTATTTCAGAGACCCATTACCCCTTTTGTCGCCTGTCTTTGGACTACTTCCAAAAAGCTAGCGTCTCTTCTAAGCTGCGGGGGGACATTGTTCACTCCGAAGTGTGGTCTTACATATATTTTTTACAACCTTAAAAAGAACTCAGGAGTGAGTGCACTTAACTATCTATGTGTTAAGCGTATGACCGCATATGCCCTCGCTACATCCTTATGTAATTCTCGTGTGCGCTTTTCTGTTAGAACTAGGCCTAAGTTTCATTCCGATGTTGTGCAATACAATTTTTCGTTGCGCATGGTGTAACTTACATTCTGCAGCCTACATAAGCGTAGTTGCACTACTTTGCACTTTTCGGGTTGCAGATCACACAGTCTACCTTCTCCCGGTCCTCCAGAATTTTAAGATCTGTATGTATCCTATCAGAGTTTTCCAAGCGCCTTTTTGATCTCCAAATCTTTACGTCATCAGCATAGAGAAGAGCCGGGCGGTTTAGACGGCACAGCAGGTCACTGACAGAAATCAAAAACATCAGTGGACCCGTGATACTCCTGATAACGAACTGTGCCAAGGTGATCGGATACGATTGACCTTAGTGTGGAATTTCCTTTCATCTAGGTAGTCCTCCAACCATGATGGAAGCGACTCACCTTTACCTGACCGACTTATTTCTTGTAGGAGGTCAATGGACGTGAACATTGAACGTTTGTTTATTGGAACTGGCAGGATTTAAAGTTGGGACAAGTACATAGTCTTTATCGGTTCAAAGCGTCTTCGTTACAATAGGAACTTAGGGCTAAGTTCCTTGACAGACATGGTGAACTGTGTCGAATGCCTTCTCGAGGTCTAGGGAGATCACATGGACTGGAACATTCTTATCCCAGCATGATGTCAAACCGTTACAAGCTGATAGTAGGTTTATTACACAGAAGCTATATTTCCTGAAACCATGTTGTGCTTCATTCAGCCTATTAGTCCTGTGAAGGTGTTCCTTGATGTTGTCAACAATTAGACTTTCTAGTACTTTTGATACCAGAGAGAGTAGTGCTACTGGTCCATAACTCGAGGTATTCTGCCTAACCCCACCCCTGAAAGTAGGAGACTGGATGGCTCTTTTCCACTCCATTGGCAGTTCCCCTGAATCGTTTGAGTGGTGGAACAGATAGCATAAGGGCTTCCAGAGAGCTTCAGCGCAATATTCTAGGACAGACTGTTGAATGCCGTCACAACCTGGGAACTTTCCAGATGCAAATTTCTGCAGCTTCCCCGTAATATTTCAGGGTTTATTTGGAGCTTAGCCAATATGTTTTCTTTCGGTTAAAAAGCGGTGCAGCCTTTCTGGCCTATACCGGCAATACTCACAGTGTTGTTTTAATGTCTGTCAAAGGCTGAAATGAATGCTTCAGCCAGTGAGAAATTGACCCTTATGACCTACTAAGGAGGAAGGTTTTCTTTACGACATAAATAGGTGCGGGCTTTGGGGTTTGCCGGGAATATTTTGGTAAGATTTACCTGAAATGATTTCTTGTCATTCCTGACTCTTGTGCTGCACCGGTCCGTTAGTCCCAGGTATGCATTGTGGTCAATCTGGCTCTTGGAGATTTACCGCGTAGACCAAGCTTTCGCTTTGCTTGTGGAATACCCTTAGTGCCTCTCTTCAGCCACGGGATCTTTTCTATGGATGTATTGTGACTAGAAGGGCGGTATACTGTGAGATTGATGTGTGAATAATACATTTTACTACTTCCCAGTTTTCCTCTACGGATAGCTAAGCCCAGTCTGCGTGCGATTCTACGTCGGACAAAAGTCTTTGCATTCCAGCACAGTCGGCTTTGCTATAGCATACAGAGGGTTGTGTAGTATCCAACTGCAAGTGCTCAGGAAGGACGAGATCTAACACTATAACCATGTGGTCACTAGCCCCCAGAGAAGTCATGATTTGGAGCTTTTCGGTTAGTAACTGATCACTAGTTAGGATATAATGCAGCTTGGATGACTTTACATCAAGATCCCACCTAGCGTCATCTCCAAAACTCCAGCCAGTTCTGAATTTCTAGTGGTTTGTTGAAGACTTCAGCCAAATTTTCCATGAGCAAATCTTGAACCGGGGTTAAGAAATGAGACATTGGATGCTCCAAATATGGTGATTTTGTCATAGCCCAATTCCTGCACCCCTGTGATGGTGCTGAGCATGTGTTTTTCATGGGCACTGTCAGGTTCAAGCTCCAGAGCACAGCGTGTGATAATGGAGGTGGAGGGCGCCAGTTCCTGTATTATTATTGTTCCCTTGGGTTCCTAGTGGAACATAGGGCTTCAACTGCACGTCTCCACTTGCTTCTGTCTTGTGCTGTACTTTTCACTTGCGTCCATGTTATTCCATACTGTTTCATCTCCTCCTCATACGATCTCCTCCATGTCACCCTTGGACGTCCCACTCGCCGCTTCCCTTTCGGGTTCCACTCGAGCACTGGCCTGACGCGTGATGTCACTCAACGGCCTCCTCAGCGAGTGTCCAATCCATCTCCACTTCCTCCTGCATATTTGTTGGGCGATTGGTTCCTGTTTCGTTTGTTCCCATAGCTTCTTGTTTGTGATTCTTTCCGGCCATCTAATCTTCAGTATGGAGCGAAGACAGTTGTTGATAAAGGTCTGCAACCTGTTGAAAATATTCTTGGTGACCCGCCAAGTTTCTGATCCGTAAAGCAAAATTGACTTCACGTTTGTATTGAAAATCCGAATTTTGTTGTTGATGGTGAGTGACGAAGATTTCCAGATTGGTTTCAGGTTGATGAATGTGTTCCTCGCCTTCCCGATTCTCGATTTGACATCCTCGTCCGTTCCTCCTGTGGTTGAGACAATGCTCCCTAGATAAGTGAAAGAAGTAACCTCTTTCAAATCCCTCCCGTTGATGGTGATTGGCACTGTATGTTGCTGTTGTTGTAAGTGGTGGTTGGTTATTTTCATAACCTCCGTCTTGTCTATGTTCACCTGGAGTCCTGTCTTTGCTGCTTCTTCGACCAGTTTGTCGGTTTTTGCTTGTAAGTCTTCGATTTTGTGTGACATCAAACATAAATCATCCGCAAAATCCAGGTCTTCTAGGTTCTTCACGTCGGTCCAGGATATCCCTGTCTTCTCGTTTCCCACTGTCTGACGCATAATCCAGTCCACCACAATTAGGAATATCATTGGTGATAATAAGCACCCTCGTCTGACTCCTGTGTTTACTCCAAACGCTTCGCTGAGTTTTCCGTTGTGGATCACTTGACATGTGCCGTTGTCGTACAGTTGTTGAATAAGGTTGATGAATATTTGGGGTACGCCGTAGTACTCGAGTAGTTTCCTGTAGTTCCTGTAACTCCCTCGCCATTCTATGTTTGCCCATGGCCAATCAGGCCTTACTATTATGTTAGATCTCCTATCTAAAGCTAGTACTTGTGCCAGTAATAATACATTTATGGCGCCTTCGGCAGAGCTCACTGTCATAAACTCACAGTATGGTTTCAGCAATCTTTTGTCACAGCGTTATTGCACCCACTGTTTGCCAAAATTGCATTCGAACACTTAGTCGCTTTTGGAAACAATGGCACCACAGGCATGGTAGTCGTCTCCCTTCCCAGAAAACGCCTTTGAGGCCTTATGACGTCTTGTGCGTTTCTTTTTAGTTTTGCTGTGCGGGAAGCACTGGCCCACAAAAGACACAGGTGTACTGCTGTGTCCGTTTGGCTTGCTTGTGGAGTTTCAGTGCTGGACTATGGCAACGTAGGTGACGTGTACACGGGTTTTAAGGACTGGAACGTGAGATGGAGCTAAAATCCCAAGGATATTTACTCCTCTGGCTGATGCCTTAGTACATACAGAATGAGATCCTTTAGTGCTATTTTTAAGGCTAGTTTAAACTGTTATATTGCCGACTACTATCAGTAAGACTGATAAAGTACAGGAAGAGAAAAAAGTTTTCTACTTTACCTAGAACTTTCCGGCTATTCTGCTTCACAGCAATCTTATGGCAGAGCAAAAAGTCGTGTTTACCTGGTCGAGTGAGGAGGACGTTATTGCAGAAGTAGCACCTGAAGCTTCGGCAGTAGTTCGAGACAGCTGAACTTACTACACAGAGGATCTATGTGGAAGTAATGCTTGAATTTGATTTATCGGCTAGTAAGTTCAG